GGTACCTAATGAACGAAGCTACAGAAAGGTACCTAATGAACGAAGCTACAGAAAGGTACCTAATGAAGAAGCTACAGAAAGGTACCTAATGAATGAAACTACGGAAGGTACCTAATGAACGAAGCTACAGAAAGGGACCTAATGAACGAAGCTACGAAAGGTACCTAAGAATGAAGCTACAGAAAGGTACCTAATGAACGAAGCTACGAAAGGTACCTAATGAAAGAAGCTACAGAAAGGGACCTAATGAATGAAGCTACAGAAAGGTACCTAATGAATGAAGCTACAGAAAGGTACCTAATGAACGAAGCTACGGAAAGGTACCTAATGAAAGAAGCTACAGAAAGGTACCTAATGAACAAAGCTACAGAAAGGTACCCAATATACGAAGCTACGGAAAGGTACCTAATGAACGAAGCTACAGAAAGGTACTAATGAACGAAGCTACGGAAAGGTACCTAATGAAAGAAGATACGGAAAGGTACCTAATGAAAGAAGATACGGAAAGGTACCTAATGAACAAAGCTACGAAAGGTACCTAATGAAAGAAGATACGGAAAGGTACCTAATGAAAGAAGCTACAGAAAGGTACCTAATGAACGAAGCTACAGAAAGGTATTATGAACGAAGCTACGGAAAGGTACCTAATGAAAGAAGATACGGAAAGGTACCTAATGAAAGAAGATACGGAAAGGTACCTAATGAACAAAGCTACGGAAAGGTACCTAATGAAAGAAGATACGGAAAGGTACCTAATGAAAGAAGCTACAGAAAGGTACCTAATGAAAGAAGCTACGGAAAGGTACCTAATGAAAGAAGCTACAGAAAGGTACCTAATGAACGAAGCTACAGAAAGGGACCTAATGAACGAAGCTACAGAAAGGTACCTAATGAATGAAGCTACAGAAAGGTACCTAATGAACGTAGCTACGGAAAGGTACCTAAGGAAAGAAGCTACAGAAAGGTACCTAATGAACAAAGCTACAGAAAGGTACCTAATAAACAAAGCTACGGAAAGGTACCTAATGAACGAAGCTACGGAAAGGTACCTAATGAAAGAAGCTACAGAAAGGTACCTAATGAACGAAGCTACAGAAAGGTACCTAATGAATGAAACTACAGAAAGGTACCTAATGAATAAAGTTACAGGAGGGTACCTAATGAACGAAGCTACGGAAAGGTACCTAATGAACGAAGCTACAGAAAGGTACCTGATGAGCGAAGCTACAGAAAGGTACCTAATGAACGAAGCTACAGAAAGGTACCTAATGAACGAAGCTACAGAAAGGTACCTAATGAACGAAGCTACAGAAAGGTACCTAATGAACGAAGCTACAGAAAGGTACCTAATGAATGAAGCTACGGAAAGGTACCTAATGAACGAAGCTACAGAAAGGGACCTAATGAACGAAGCTACAGAAAGGTACCTAATGAATGAAGCTACAGAAAGGTACCTAATGAACGAAGCTACGGAAAGGTACCTAATGAAAGAAGCTACAGAAAGGGACCTAATGAATGAAGCTACAGAAAGGTACCTAATGAATGAAGCTACAGAAAGGTACCTAATGAACGAAGCTACGGAAAGGTACCTAATGAAAGAAGCTACAGAAAGGTACCTAATGAACAAAGCTACAGAAAGGTACCCAATATACGAAGCTACGGAAAGGTACCTAATGAACGAAGCTACGGAAAGGTACCTAATGAAAGAAGCTACAGAAAGGTACCTAATGAACGAAGCACAGAAAGGCACCTATGAACGAAGCTAGGAAGGTACCTAATGAACAAAGCTACGGAAAGGTACCTAATGAAAGAAGATACGGAAAGGTACCTAATGAAAGAAGCTACAGAAAGGTACCTAATGAAAGAAGCTACGGAAAGGTACCTAATGAAAGAAGCTACAGAAAGGTACCTAATGAACGAAGCTACAGAAAGGGACCTAATGAACGAAGCTACAGAAAGGTACCTAATGAATGAAGCTACAGAAAGGTACCTAATGAACGTAGCTACGGAAAGGTACCTAAGGAAAGAAGCTACAGAAAGGTACCTAATGAACAAAGCTACAGAAAGGTACCTAATAAACAAAGCTACGGAAAGGTACCTAATGAACGAAGCTACGGAAAGGTACCTAATGAAAGAAGCTACAGAAAGGTACCTAATGAACGAAGCTACAGAAAGGTACCTAATGAACGAAGCTACGGAAAGGTACCTAATGAAAGAAGCTACGGAAAGGTACCTAATGAAAGAAGCTACAGAAAGGTACCTAATGAACGAAGCTACGGAAAGGTACCTAATGAAAGAAGCTACAGAAAGGTACCTAATGAACAAAGCTACAGAAAGGTACCTAATGAATGAAGCTATATAAAGGTACCTAATGAACGAAGCTACGGAAAGGTACCTAATGAAAGAAGCTACAGAAAGGTACCTAATGAACAAAGCTACAGAAAGGTACCTAATGAACGAAGCTAAGGAAAGGTACCTAATGAATGAAGGTACAGAAAGGTAACTAATGAACGAAACTACAGAAAGGTACTTAATGAACGAAGCTACAGAAAGGTACCTAATGAACGAAGCTACAGAAAGGTACCTAATGAACGAAGCTACAGAAAGGTACCTAATGAACGAAGCTACAGAAAGGAACCTAATGAACGAAGCTACAGAAAGGTACCGAATGAACGAAGCTACAGAAAGGTACCTAATGAACGAAGCTACAGAAAGGTACCTAATGAACGAAGCTACAGAAAGGTACCTAATGAACGAAGCTAAAGAAAAGTACCTAATGAACGAAGCTACAGAAAGGTACCTAATGAACAAAGCTACAGAAAGGTGCCTAATGAACGAAGCTACGGAAAGGTACCTAATGAAAGAAGCTACAGAAAGGTACCTAATGAACAAAGCTATAGAAAGGTACCTAATGAACGAAGCTACGGAAAGGTACCTAATGAACGAAGCTACGGAAAGGTACCTAATGAACGAAGCTACAGAAAGGTACCTAATGAACGAAGCTACGGAAAGGTACCTAATGAACGAAGCTACGGAAAGGTACCTAATGAAAGAAGCTACGGAAAGGTACCTAATGAAAGAAGCTACAGAAAGGTACCTAATGAACGAAGCTACGGAAAGGTACCTAATTAAAGAAGCTACAGAAAGGTACCTAATGAACAAAGCTACGGAAAGGTACCTAATGAACGAAGCTACGGAAAAGTACCTAATGAACGAAGCTACGGAAAGGTACCTAATGAAAGAAGCTACAGAAAGGTACCTAATGAACAAAGCTACAGAAAGGTACCTAATGAACGAAGCTAAGTAAAGGTACCTAATGAATGAAGGTACAGAAAGGTAACTAATGAAGGAAGCTACAGAAAGGTACTTAATGAACGAAGCTACGGAAAGGTACCTAATGAACGAAGCTACAGAAAGGTACCTAATGAACGAAGCTACAGAAAGGTACCTAATGAACGAAGCTACAGAAAGGTACCTAATGAACGAAGCTACAGAAAGGTACCTAATGAACAAAGCTACAGAAAGGTACCTAATGAACGAAGCTACGGAAAGGTACCTAATGAACGAAGCTACGGAAAGGTACCTAATGAAAGAAGCTACAGAAAGGTACCTAATGAACAAAGCTACAGAAAGGTACCTAATGAACGAAGCTAAGGAAAGGTACCTAATGGACGAAGCTACGGAAAGGTACCTAATGAAAGAAGCTACGGAAAGGTACCTAATGAAAGAAGCTACAGAAAGGTACCTAATGAACAAAGCTACAGAAAGGTACCTAATGAACGAAGCTACAGAAAGGTACCTAATGAACGAAGCTAAGGAAAGGTACCTAATGAATGAAGGTACAGAAAGGTAACTAATGAACGAAGCTTCAGAAAGGTACTTAATGAACGAAGCTACAGAAAGGTACCTAATGAATAAAGTTACAGAAGGGTACCGAATGAACGAAGCTACGGAAAGGTACCTAATGAAAGAAGCTACAGAAAGGTACCTAATGAACAAAGCTACAGAAAGGTACCTAATGAACGAAGCTACAGAAAGGTACCTAATGAACGAAGCTACGGAAAGGTACCTAATGAACGAAGCTACAGAAAGGTACCTATTAAACGAAGCTACAGAAAGGTACCTAATGAATGAAGCTACAGAAAGGTACCTAATGAATGAAGCTACAGAAAGGTACCTAATGAATGAAGCTACAGAAAGGGAAGAGAGTGATTTCTTGTATAGCTGCTGATCATCTTTCTCTTAATATAAATAATATAACATTACAGGTTTTCCAGGACACACAGTGAACATGAGTCACTGCCTGACTTTTTTTTCTGGGGGGGGGAGGTTATCCTTGGTAATTTATACTTGTATATTACTATGTATGATAATTGTACTTATGTTTACCTGTACCTGAATAACTTACTTACTTACTTACATGCTACTTACATCCTTATCTATCTACTTGCTTACTTATTTATGATGATTATCTTATATTCCAGAGCATCACGTTCACGCAAGAGTTAATATATTTTATCTCCATCACATTTTGTAAGATTTAGAGCGATATACAACTATATGTGTTTAACCCCCCTGTTTCCCAATACGTTTCATCATACATTATCTTTTTTTTCATTAAAGTTGAGCAATAATAATAAATTCAGTTATCTTGAACGCTACCAGTGTTACCACACACCACACCCATCACACTCAACTCCATTATTTTGTTTTACATGTTATATCCTTCGGGTTAATTAGCCATTTGAAAATATAACATTTATCTTATATAGAAAGTTAACATATACAACCAGATGTGGTAGGAAAATGCTTTCTATATATTGATTTGAAATTAAATATATACATATTTTTTGTTCTGGTAGTTGGTCAGCCCAACTTTAATACAAATATTGGTTCCTTTACGAATGATTAACAACAAGATATATATTTTAGAATTACGGGCTCCAATAGAGTAGAACAAGAACATTAAAAGTCACCTGAAATTATGGTTAACGTAGAGTTCCTTAGGGTATAGACTGGTATCAGGAGAGGCGCCTCACTTCACTTTTGACAGGTGAAGAGGTGAGTCTGGTGCGCCGGCTGGTCTCCTGGTTTATCATTACATTCCACTTTATTAAGATATTTCTAGGAAAGTTATCAGGTAAAATGGTTCCCAGTTTATGCATGGTAGCCCAGGCACCGGTACTGCGGAGCTCTGGTAACCTAACTGGCTTGTAATGGGGGTATTAACCTGTGGTGGTGGTCTACTGTAGTGTTTACCTTATCTAGTGTAGTTTACCTAGTAATTTAACCTATAATTCACCATGTAATGACTAGCTTTGTGTTAATTAATCTCTCCCCTCTCATGTTTAATAAAGTAGGAAGGTTTATGCTAAAGTAGACGGCAGCTGCTCTGTGGATTTCGGTCATTATTAATTTGGATTATTATTTTGTTTAAATGGTAGATGTAACCTAACCTTAAGTACCCTAACATTACTTAACCTTACCCGTCTTCAAGAATGCACTGGACAGGTACCTTAAGTCAGTACCTGACCAACAAGGCTGTGGTTCGTACGTCAGCTTGCGTGCAGCCAGCAGTAACAGCCTGGTTGATCAGACCCTGATTCACCATGAGGCCTGGTCTCAGACCTGGCCGCGGGGGAGTTGACCCCCGAAACCCTCAACAGGTACCCCGCCAGCGGTACTGCCGCTTCTTTCTTTACGTAAACAATGATGCATCGATCATAAACAAAGATACATCAGATGTAAACAATGATACATCGATCGTAAACAAAGATACATCAGATGTAAACAATGATACATCGATCGTAAACAAAGATACATCAGATGTAAACAATGATACATCGATCGTAAACAAAGATACATCAGATGTAAACAATGATACATTGATCGTAAACAAAGATACATCAGATGTAAGCAATGATACATCGATCGCAAACAAAGTTCAGATGTAAACAGATATATAAGATGTAAACAATGATACATTGTAAACAAACATCAGATGTAAACAAAGATACTTCAGATGTAAATAAAGATACATCAGATGTAAGCAAAGATATAAGGAATAAGCTCAAGGCTTATTCCTTTAAGAAAAAGGAGGAGTAGATGTAAAATAGAAAGAGACAGGCGCTCCCTTTACAGGTGACGGAAAAGAATAACAGAGCGGCTAAAAGAGGCCAATATATCTGAAATGCGTAGGGAGTCTCTGGTCAGAGAAATAGCAAACATCGAACTTAAGCTAAAGGAATCTTATAGGAGTCAGGAATCGCGGGAAGAACAAAAAGCCATAAATGAAATCGAAAGAAACCCAAAGTATTTCTTTTCTTATGCCAAATCAAAGTCAAGAACAACATCCAGTATTGGGCCCCTACTTAAACAAGATGGGTCCTACACAGATGACAGCAAGGAATGAGTGAGCTACTCAAGTCCCAATATGACTCAGCTTTTAGCAAGCCGCTAACCAGACTGAGAGTCGAAAATCAAAATGAATTTTTTATGAGAGAGCCACAGAATTTGGTAAACACAAGCCTATCTGATGTTATCGTGACGCCAAATGACTTCGAACAGGCGATAAATGACATGCCCATGCACTCTGCCCCAGGGCCAGACTCATGGGACTCCGTGTTCATCAAGAACTGCAAGAAGCCCCTATCACAAGCTTTTACCATCCTATGGAGAGGGAGCAGGGACACGGGGGTCGTCCCACACAACAAACAGCCCCACTCCACAAAGGGGGCAGTAAAGCAATAGCAAAGAACCACAGACTGATAGCACTAACATCCCATATCATAAAAATCTTTGAAACGGTCCTAAGAAGCAAGATCGCCACCCATCTAAATACCCATCAATTACACAACCCAGGGCAACATGGGTTTAGAGCAGGTCGCTCCTGTCTGTCCCAACTACTGGATCACTGCAACAAGGTCCTAGATGCACTAGAAGACAAAAAAGAATGCAGATGTAATATATACAGACTTTGCAAAAGCCTTCGACAAGTGTGACCATGGCGTAATAGCGCACAAAATGCGTGCTAAAGGAATAACAGGAAAAGTTGGTAGATGGATCTATAATTTCCTCACAAACAGAACACAAAGAGTAGCAGTCAACAGTCAAGTCTGAGGTGGCTACTGTGAAAAGCTCTGTTCCACAAGGCACAGTACTCTCTCCCATCTTGTTTCTCATCCTCATATCTGACATAGACAAGGATGTCAGCCACAGCACCATGTCTTCCATTGCAGATGACACCCAAATCTTCATGACAGTGTCTTCCATTGCAGACATTGCAAGGCTCCAGGCAGACATCAACCAAATCTTTCAATGGGCTGCAGAAAACAATATGAAGTTCAGCGATGAGAAATTTCAATTACTCAGATATGGTAAACATGAGGAAATTAAAACTTCATCAGAGTACAAAACAAATTCTGGCCACAAAATAGAGCGAAAAACCAATGTCAAAGACCTGGGAGTGATCATGTCAGAGGATCTCACCTTCAAGGAACATAACATTGTATCAATCGCATCTGCTAGAAAAATGACACGATGGATAATGAGAACCTTCAGAACTAGGGGTGCCAAGCCCATGATGACACTCTTCAGGTCACTTGTTCTATCTAGGCTGGAATATTGCTGCACACTGACAGCACCTTTCAAGGCAGGTGAAATTGCTGACCGTGAAAATGTACAGAGAACCTTCACGGCGTGCATAACGGAGATAAAACGCCTCAGTTACTGGGAGTGCTTAAGTTCCTGAACCTGTACTTCCTGGAATGCAGGCAGGAGAGATACATGATTATATACACCTGGAAAATCCTAGAGGGACTAGTACCGAACTTGCACACGAAAATCACTCACAACGAAAGCAAAAGACTCGGCAGACGATGCAACATCCCTCCAATGAAAAGCAGGGGTGTCACTAGCATGTTAAAGAGACAATATGATAAGTGTCAGGGGCCTGAGACTGTTCAACTGCCTCCCAGCATACATAAGGGGGATTACCAATAGACCCCTGGCTGTCTTCAAGCAGGCGCTGGACAAGCACCTAAAGTCGGTACCTGACCAGCCGGGCTGTGGCTCGTACGTTGGATTGCGTGCAGCCAGCAGTAACAGCCTGGTTGATCATGCTCTGATCCACCGGGAGGTCGGGTCACAGACTGGGCCGCGGGGGCGTTGACCCCCAGAACTCTCTCCAGGTAATACATTAGATGTTAACAGATGCATTAGATGTAAACAATGATACATTGATCGTAAAGAAAGATACATGATATGTAAACAAAGAGACATCAGATGTAAACAATGATACATCATATGCAAACAATGATACATCAGATTTAAAACAGATAAATCAGATGTAAACAGTGATTCATCAGTTGTAAATGATACATCGATTGTAAACAAAGATTAGATGTAAACAAAGATACATTAGATGTGAACAAAGATACATTAGATGTAAACAAAGATACTTCAGATGTAAAAAATGCAATGATCATAAACAAAGATACATCAGATGTCAACAATGATACATTGAATGTAAATAAAGATATATCAAATATAAACTGATACATGTGGAAGATACTTTGTAAACAAAGATACATTGAATGCAAAGATAGCTAACATGTACTTACAAGAACATAAGAACGAAGGAACACTGCAGCAGGCCTACTGGCCCATGCGAGGCAAGTCTCCTACCAGCTTAAGCCAATGCACCCAACCTAGTCAGGTCAGGTCACATTCTGTGATCTGATCCCCTCTCTTTAATGTTAATAACAAAGTTTAGCTTATTCCTAGTATATCTCTTTATTCTAAGTGCTTTTCACACAATTGAGTTACTTAGCTGTTTTAACATTTAAGGTTTAAATAGTATGATATTGCAAGGACCACAATGGAAACAAATCACTTTGACTTTTTGGGATTATCAGATTTAGGCTCAGATTCATTTATTTCTTTGCAAGTAGTACATGGAGATTATATTTTTACAATAATGGGTTACAGTGCAAAGAGAGCCTTTATTATGCCTTAGCATTATGGGCTGACTTAATTCAATGACTTACTGACTACTTATCACTGAAGAAATTATCATAGTTGTACAGTAGTTCTATTAATAATAAGTGAATCTAATTTACACAAACAAAAGGATATATTCATGTATTCAAAAATGCTTTTTATGAAACATGATTCAGTAGTAGTTTACAGCATGAGACTGCTACAATTTGGTGAAGGGTAGTACTGGTTTTGGTATCCTGGGTAATCTACACATATGCTGCTGTGTGTGGGGAGTTGTGTAACTTTGTGTACCTGTACCTAAATAAACTTACATTAAATGTAAACTAAGGTACATTGAATGTAAGCATACATTGTAAATAAAGATGCACTCAATGTGAACAGATGCAGATGCACTCAATGTAGACAGGGGAATTACCAATAGATCCCTGGCTGTCTTCAGGAAGGCACTGGACAGGCACCTGAAGTCAGTACCTAACCAGCCGGGCTGTAGTTCGTACAGCGGTCTTCGTTCGGCCAACAGTAACAACCTGGTTGATCAGACCCTGATCCACCACAAGGCCTGGTCTCAGCCTGAGCCAAGGGGACATTGACCCCCGAAACCCTCTCCAGGTATACTCCAGGTGTAGATACACTAAATGTAAACAAAGGTACATTCACTGTGAACAAAGATACATTGAATATAAACAGATACTTTCAGTATAAAAGATACATTGAGCATAAACAAAGTTACATCAGATGTAAAGAAAGTTAAATCAGATGTAAACAAATATGCGTTGAGTATTAACAGCTACATATAATGCAGGCAAAGATTTCATTGAATGTAAACAAACATGCATTGAACATAAGCAAAGTGCATCAAATGTAGTTTGCTTATGCTCAGTGCATGTGCATCACATAAAAAAGCTGCATCAAATGTAAATTAAGATGTGTCAAACATAAACAAAATGCATCAAATATAAACAGGATGCATCAAATGTAAACAGTGACCAGCCGAATGTAAACGATGACTCCTCAGCAGTAGACACATTAAATGTAAACAGATGAATCGAACGTAAAAAGATACATTGAACATCAACAGATACATCAAGCATAACGGCTGCATCACTCATTAAACAAGCAATGCATCAGTCATAAACAAAG